CCTCGTGCCCGCCACTTCGAAGTAGTGTAACCCTTTCGGTGCCACTCGTTCCAGCTCTGTTGCACTCGCAGACTTGAGGCATCGCGTGTCTCTGTCGCGTTATCGGTAGTTTCCGCCTGACTGGGTCCGGTGTAACGTCCTCGTCTGTGTGCGTGAGAGAGAGAGAGAGATTCGCCAGCCCGCCGCTCGCCTTATCAGGGCTCTGCCGTTACGTTCGGTCGTTCCATCTTACTCGCACGATGCCTACAGACGCCCGCCTCTACTAATGGAAACCTGATAACGACGAGCACCGCCTCGTGAAGGAACGCAGAAAGAGAAGAAAAGTAAAAAAAAAGAAGAGAAGAAAGTTTTGGAGTTATGAACGCATAAAATATAAAAGCAAGGAGCTAAGAAGAGGGGTTCGCCGTACTTAGAAGGACGTGGGAAAATATAATATGCAAGGCACAATAAATTGGTCACAAATTTCGAAGTAAGTTGTTAATTAAACTTCATATGCATTTTAGAAAATGTTGCTTTATTAATAAACAATAGGGACACGGAAATATACTTCGAGACTCGACCACAAATCACCGAACATGTTGACCCAAGCCGTCAATGCCTCTGGGTTCGTTATGAAGAGCTCATGTCAATCCGTGGATCTGGACAAAGTCTCAGATGAAAAAGGAAAGAGGCATCTACGACACACTTGGACAAGGCCCCAAATGAAGAGGTGAAGAGGCATCTAAGATACACTTGGAAAAGGTCTCAAATGAAGAAGTGAAGAGGCATCTACGACACACCTGGACGAGGTCCCAAATGAAGAGGTGAAGAGGCATCTACGACACATCTGGACAAGGTCCCAAATGACGAGGTGAAGAGGCATCTACGACACACTTGGACAAGGTGACTTACAACTCACCCGAACGAGGTCCAGCAACTGTGATAAGTGAAAGATCGGGAGTTTTCACGACGGCTAAATTTATTAGAAGTTTTTGTGCTATCAGACGTGTCAGATGGTTAAAAATTACAGACGTTTCACGGATCATCTCTACAGTTTTTAACCAACTGACAAGGCCGATAGCCCGAGAAGATTTTATGAACTGGGATTTACAGTCTCTAATGGATCCAAAAAAGCAGGTGCTTCCAAGGCTTATCACCTGAGGAAGGACAGATTTAATTTCCGAATTGTTGTGTTCTTTAGGAATACTTGATTACGGGAAAAGTCCACGAAATTGGCAATTTTTAATGTAACACGAGACTGTCATGCAGTATGGAGTGACTATAGACAGGGTTTCGGATTGGCTATTGGATTTACTGACCACTTATACACACGACTCGGATCTACAATCAATTAGAGCGCCACCGGTAATCTCTACAAATCACAAATCACCACAGCACCCGCTAAGCCTTTTCCAGCCTGTTGTGTCTTCACCAGCCATTCCCTGGTAACGGCTTCTAATAGTGGAGATTCTTCAGCTTCCGTGCCCAAGTCCACTCTGAATGGCGGTTTCCTTCCAACTGTTTCTTTTCTTCACAGCCTCCCGGACAGAACTGACTTGGTTGCACTAATTGTCTACTCTATAAATCTTCAGCAAGGCCAATACAGACAACACCGTTCATTTTCGTTTGCATATCCGATGCTGCGGGAACGTGTTTCTCGAAGCGTTCCCTAGCAGTGGCCGTCTATTCTTGCTTATGAAGAATCTGCAGCCTAGCAACGGATGTCGTTCCGCTGTCTGTCTCACGGTCTTTGCCTAGAAATGAATGTTGTTTCAGAGACTTTTCTAGCTCCACAAATATGCCACAATCCCTCTGTGAGAACCCTAGAAGTCTTCGTATAGTCAATGTCGAAAAAGGTGATCCTGTATGTTGTTGAACTGCAAGAATATCGTCATGACCTGTTCAAGGTACCATCCCGATGGATGACTTGAGGAACTGGGTGGAAACTATAAAAGTTCTGTCCTGTCAAGCTGAACCATCAGTGGAGATTCTGATCGAATACCTCCTGAATACAAGTCAGTCAACGTCCGTCGATACTGCCACGACCCAGAGGTTCAGAGAGAGGAGGAATTTCTTCAACTGTGATCTGCTGCTTTAGGTAGGAACAGTGCCAGGACCTTGAGGGCGCCGTGACAGTTCCGAAGGACAGCAACCACACTTTTTTGTTTAGTTTCTTGGGGTCAACTTGGCACGACGGCCACTGTTTGGCCTATTGTACCAGCCCCAGATGAGATATGATGACGAGTGTGGAGTCGGTGGAATGAGAATTGGCAGGGAAAACCAAAGTACTTCGAGAAAACCTGCCCCATTGTCACTTTGCCCACCACAAATTCCACATGACCTGACCTAGGCTCGAACCCAGGAGGCCATGGTGGGAAGTCGGCGACTAGCGGCCTGAGCTATGGCAGAGTTAGCTACCACCCTCACAGGCGGCTTGTCATTCATGATTCTACGTATTTCAAAGGATCGAAAGAGAATATCGAAAATGTTTGTCATGCTCATTATCATTATCGTCGCCCGGCTTGTCACGTCTGTGATTAGGAACCTGTTGGTCCATCATATCTGTTCTTTTGTCTTCTTATTTCTACTTATCAGGCATCGTGGCAATGTGCAGCTTGTTTTGGGCATTCTACACTGCTAAACAGTCTTGAATGCTCTAATAAATATTCTGTATGAATTATTGAATGTAAACTGGATAAAGGAGCACGAGGTAGCTTAGTTGGTTCAGGCACTATGCTACAAGCCGGAAGGTAGCGGGTTCGGGTCCCGATGAGGTCGTTGGATTTTTTAAATTTACCTAATCCTTCAAGCCGCACTATGGCCCTGGGGTCGACTAGGCCTCTTAACAGAAATGAGAATCAGGAATTTTTCTAGGGGTAAAGGACGGCAGGTACGTAAGGCTGACAATCTCACCATCTATGAGCCGACTGTCTGGAGGAAATATGGGAGCCTCGACGTTTTAAAAACCTATGGGCCTTCATGGACGGTTACAAGGATAGCCTTACCTTTTTGTTCCTTGCTGAATAAATGTAATTGTTTGATGTCTGCGATATCTTAACTGTCCCTGAATTAATATACAGCTGTGTTCCATCAATTTTCTACGCGTTCGCAACAACATTTATAAGAATTCGCCTGTTACAAATATTATGTTTCTCGACATTATCCTTTGTCCTGTTTTTATTTAAAACGCATAACGTTTCGGAGTCTGCATTATATCTTCGTCTTCAGGCAAAACCTACTCAGTTGGGCCAAATCGATACAGTTAGTCCCTATCCCCGGAAATAGAAGCCGTTCTCCGACATCTTGTACTTTTTAATGTCCAGAAACATAATATTTTTATTAGTGTACCAACGTCACAAACTTTTAGATACCATTCGCTTACTGTTAGCTATCCCATGCCTGTCTCTCTGGCGGTATGTAACAACTCGATAACATCTGAAAAGTATTTTAATAAAACTTAAAATTCGCGTGTTTTACTCAAATTTGGGTTAAAAGTGGACAACAATAGAAGACACTTCACACAAATCCTACAGGCATTTCTATTCGCATCCCGACCGTAACTCGCTGATTATTTATCGGAGTAAAAAGTATGAGAGTATGAGACACATACTCGTATTTTATGCACAACATCCCTTTTTCCATGCATACTACGGGTTTCTGGACAATTAAACAGAAATGAGTGAAAGAGCCACAGTTGTTATGACACGCCTGCATTTCCTAACTTGTTACGTGATGTCAGCACTACCAAAGGCTTCGTTCGTTTAAGGAAGGATAAGAAGAAGAAGAAGAAGAAGAAGTGCCAAGCCCATGGGGGGACCAAAATGACTTATTGTGGTGGATCTATCAAGCAAAAAGGTGAAGACACAACAAGGTTAAGTTTATGCTTCCAAATATTCGTATACGATTTTGTGTTCTAGTGGTTGACCTGGACGGGGCACCTTCGGACGAGACAAATTCGGGGGACAACTCGAATGCAGGGTCCAGTGCTGGAGGACCCGACGAGGACCAAGCACGACTACGCCTCAAGAGGAAGTTACAGAGGAACAGAACTTCCTTCACAAATGAGCAAATTGACAGTTTAGAGAAAGGTAAGCAAGCCTGTGTATGTTAAGGTTTTATTTCTGAAAATATCATTTGTATAGCTAACTCATGCTTTTGCCTATAGCCTAAAATGAGAAGTGAATAAGGTTGTACAGGTGATTATGTCCCTCTCTCTCTGTCTCTCTCCGTGGCTTTAGTCCGCAAGCGAATTATACCGACCAAGCGAGCGACCGCCACTTGTCGACGAAGTTAGTGCTAACTTTAACGGATAGAGAGTGTCGCGTGGTCAGCGCAACGAATCCTACGGCCGTTAATCTCGATTTTCTTGTCCCTACGCTTAAGAAAATAAACACCACGTCATGAAGACGTATGGGAGTGTGGAGATATACCTCCACCATTCTTTACTTCGACATTAGAGAGATGAACGGTCAGCTTCACTCAACGGCTGCTTTAATCCCGGTGAAATAGTCCCCAGTATTCATTAGACAGGACGCTGGGTGGGCCCCAGAGTCACTCTGGACACTGTAAGGAGAAAAATCTCTTGACCCTGCCGGGTAAGGAAACCCGGACGTCCAGCCCGTGTTCTTTCACTATACCGACTGAGCTATCTCGGTTCCTATATTAAAACTGTTCCTCTGCTTAACTAATTAAGCACTACGCCATGAAGGCGTATGGGGGGAGTGTATGTATAGATCCATATTCTCTTGACTTCTACGCTAGGAGGAGATTCCTATGGAAAGTAAATATTATAATTATTTCAGATGATAATTTTGTGTAATTTCACGCCTTGCAACATATGCTATTTATGTTTCGAAACGAGATCCAGCTCCCTTCCAATTCTTACTCGTTCGTGACGTTACTAGAATGTGACGTAGCGTGAGAGAGGATACTATCCTGTCGTCAACTCCTCTGACTTCTCTCTCTATACGGAGAAATTATTCTTCAACTACAGCAACCAGGCAGAAGCAGTAGGTGCCTTCAAACTATTGATTTTCGATAACGGTCTTCTTCTTCTTCCTTCCCCTATGCGACTGGCTTCGTTCTCGTCTTTCACTTTTTTATTTTATTTTCAAATTGATGCTCTAGGCACGTAAAGGCATGCGGATAAAGATTGATAACATTAGGGGGAGGGAGAAATGGCGGCGTGTGAGCGGTGATATGAGGCGCCGTGATTGATAACTTCTAATAAGTTCGCACTTGTCAGTTGCTGTCGAGAAAACAAACTAAGAAACTCATCATCATGACTTCTGAATAATTCCTGAGGAGGCCCGGGTTCCATTCCAGGTCAAGTCGTGTGGGATTTGTGGTAGACAAAGTGGTGCTGGGGCAGGTTTTCTCCTAGTACTTCGGTTTCCCCTGCCAATTCTCATTCCGCCAATCATTTATCACCCGGTACCGGTACAATAGGCCAATTAGTGGCAGACGTACCAAGTGGACTCAGTCTCACCCCACCTTAAGAAAATAAAGGAGAAAAAACTTCAAGGTGTCGAGGCGTGGAGATAAATCCCCACCCCTTCTACGCCTCCATGTGAGATGTGAGCTTCACACACCAACCCCTTTACTCTTGAAGAGCCCCTAGAAAATTGGTATTGAGGGCTGTACATTAAACGGTAAGGTAAAAATAGTAAAATTGTCCCTGTGCTTAACTAATTAAGCACTACGCCATGAAGGAGTATGAGTGGATGTATAATCCACATTTTCTTGACATCGACACTAGCTGGAAGTGAGTGTATATTAAAAGGCTCTCATAACTCCGACTATGAAAATTAATTTCTTCTGAGAAATAATGCCATGTTATTTGGTAAATAGGTTCAAACTTTCGGAGAAAACTGTTGTCTCCATCTTCAGGGTAAAGATGAAATCAAGAGATTCCTAAGTCGATAGCCCACCTGTCTACAACATATATGTATATATATATATACCGCGTCACCTTACAGGATATAATAATACAATTTTATTTTAGTCTTAGTCTATTTTTACACTAATTTCTTATACAATTAAAGGCCTATAATTTAAGAAAGTGCCAATTCTACATAGAATCCGGTACGTGATACAAAATTCGTATCTCGTTATGTTCTACGGCCTTTATTTCAAACTATTTTTGATATGGTGAACGTCTAACGAAAAACGAGAAAAAAATGCAATGCGATCATTTTGTCGCTCGAATGAGAGAGACGGACGCTCCTCGTGTCAACTCGGGTCGACTGATGGAGGAAATGACAAACCAAGAATCTACGTATATACACCCTGCAATTTCACTTGACTATCGTCCTACTAAATCATTGAACAACTAATATTGACACTTGGTAATTGGATAATTGGATTTATTAACCACCTACAGGCTGTAACTACAAATAATTATAACACTGTTACACACACACACACACACACACACACACACACTAGTCCTCTCCTGGTTATGCGATTAAAACACAGGAACTATAAAAGTCTCACTTAATCACACACTCCAGATATTACAATAAAGTCTTCTCTTCACAGCCGCACTTTAGCAACTAAATCTTAACTACACTACACTGCAGTGCATTCTCACTTTTTTCCATAAGGGCTTCGTGTCCTTGACTCACGGCTTCTCAGTTGCGACTACTCGCGAACGACCCTTGTTTTCCCCTATAAACCTTCGACACGGACCACGCAAAGAAAACACCTTCTATTATTACAGACGTATTTACAGTTCTGTTGCCTAGCACTGGGCAAGGAGGGGACCACATTGATAACACATGTCACGTGATTCCTACTCAGCGAGTTCATTGGCGCGCTGACTGTTGCCTAGCAACGAGCTATAACATTCGTCCTATTGTTGCGTGCGCGTATCGCGGGATGTTTATAGAACCCGTTGTCTGGCAATGCGTTGATATGTCACAATATGAAGCGACCTTATGAATTAGGTGTCATAAAAGAACAAATAAACAAATAATATTGTGACGCATTACCTTACGTCCATCACCGCGAAAACCGCTACAACCGGAAGGGACATTTCCACGGCAACGAATACGTGGAAACTGTGGAGCTCCCGCAGCGACAAATCATAGCAACGAATTATCGTTGAGTAACAACGGATGAGACGAAACACGTTACCGGTGTATTCTATAAGAAGCGTTCCCGTAACAACGGACTGCTGAACAGCGGTAACGGAACCATGAGGAATGGTGTCCGGTATCCGGTCCGCATAGCCCCTATATAAGCAGAGCTTACGGCACGTACAGAGCATTGGAGTACTGAGAAGGAGACAATCTTGGGGTAGCCGCCGCCAGAGACAGTTCAGATTCAACCACGCCACGGCCAAGGATAGTTGAGACGTCGCATTGGAGTACTGGGCCAGAAGTCAAGTGACACTGCAAGTGGTGATATTTGTAAGGTGTGTAAGAGGGGGTGTCCAATAAAGATTCGCTAAATCCAGACCCACGTGAAGTTATTTGTCGCGTGATATACCCAGACACGTGACAATATTATTTCGGAAAATTTACAACTGTTGTAGTTCTTCTGTTTTTTAAATTTCAAATTACAAACGTATAACCTAGCTGAGGGATGAATAAACATCTCATTACGCATTGTGAGTGTACACATAATTATATGCAGGACTGAGAGAACAGAATATCCGTCTATATTTCAAAATTTGTGGCTTAGTATATTTTCTTAGATTCTTTCGAGTTCTTTTAAACTTAACATTTCTCTTTACAGATGCATATGTTTATTCATAAGGTCAACATGTGGCCCGCATCTTGACCTCTTATCCGTGATTTACAGGCTGAAAATTTCATTTGAGTGTTTGTTTCCGTGTTGAACAGTAACAGTTTTAATAATGTCAATTCACGGATCTACCTTCGCAGACACTTAGGATAACGAAAGAAGCTATCTTATTTTAAAGGTATTAGGAAACATTTAAATGTACAAATTTTATTATAAATCTAAATGAACTCTTAAAATCAGCTCAGTCAAATTTGTTAGACTAAGATACGGAGTTCTTTATTAAGATACTAGTACAATGCCTGTTGAAATTTCAAAGGAAAATTGATTAACATAAAATCTATTTAGAAATACATTATGTTCGTATATTACATATTTTGCTTACAAGAACACACCTTCGAAAGAACGCCGAAGCTCAGTAAAGCAGTTTGTAATATTCTTTAGTAACAAATATACGCATCCCTTGAACTACATGTATACTAAGCTACCAGATATTTTGCAATACGACATCCCAGTCATACCTTCCAATCCCGCTTATTGCTGCTACCTACAGAGCAACAGAACAGAAAGTTTTGTCGCCACTTTCTCGTCATATTCTTAATTACTTGTTAGCATACGAGGGAGAGTCAGTAAATAGGTCACAAATTGAAGTAAAACAGGTGTAATGGGCGTAATACGTATGTGTATCACTAGGTAGCAGCACAGTCCAGCTTCATCACAGTCTACGTATCAGATGAGCATGTGCGTGTTCAGAGGCTAGTTTCAGTAGATAAAATGGCGACCGTGTTTAAATAATGTACTACCGAAGAGCAACGTTCTATTGTGCGTCCTTTCGTGGGCAAAAGAACTAAATGCAAAGGGTATTCATAAAGAAATATTTCCTTTTACGGTGGGAAGTTCCTGTCGCGTAAAGCGGTTGACAACTGGGTCGAGAAATTCTCTCAAAGACGTTCGAAAGTTTCAGATGATGCCCGAAAAGTTGCGGAAGTGGATGAGACGACAGTCAAAAGACTTCTATGCTGCGGGTTTCGATACATTCGTCAAAGCGATGGGACAAATATATCAGTGTTGGTGGAGAATATGTCGAGAAATAATTTTTTTCAGGTTCGAATGTAACATGTTTTAGGCAGGCCGCACACGTCAGCATCATGACTCAGGCCGGCGTGCGGCGGTTTTCATAATCTCATTTGTTTAAACTGTGCTCCTTTCTTTGCGTCATGTCGCAGACGTCGTGTTGACTGTTACATGTCTTGACGCATGCCGGTGAGCGGCATACCTTAGGTATTATATATCCGTCTGTGACCTATTTACTGATTCTCCCTCATACATAACGACACGATAACAAGCTAGCATCAATTACACCTTCAGTCTTTTGCCATTCTACTCCATTAAGCTATTTACACACAGACACGATAATAGTATTAGTAACTTGTCTATCAACTACATAATTATATGCTGTATTTGAGGGTCTTACAGCTGTAACTATGAAGAGTTCTATATTCTGGGATATAACGCCGTACAGCCCAATACAAGTCAACAGACGTTTCGAAGGAATGTCCTCACCTCAACCTGAAAATAGGAGAGTAAACCAAGCAAGAAGCCAGCATGAAGAGCTCTGAGTATACACCGTGTAATTACAGCTCATTTTCTTTCTCAGAATTCGAGAGGACGCACTATCCAGATGTGTTCGCTAGAGAGAGGCTGGCTGCAAAGATTGGCCTTCCCGAAGCTAGGATACAAGTAAGTATCATATCGTTTGCCCGCAGCAAGTTTAAGGGGAGTTTCTTTCGATTATGAGCTTCTGTAACAGCCTATGAGCCTAATTCAAATGGGACAAGAAGTTTTGGCTAATATTTTGCTTTAATTTTTTCTCGCATTCTAAAGCAATAGGATCTTCGACAACTCCCTGGCTCCTTCTTTGCTTCCGATAAACTTTTCTTCATTCTTAAAGGTGTTTTCAGCAACCACATCTGATATATTCTAAAGGTTTGTATCTCGAGATAAATAATGGATATCCCGATTCCAGAATATTTAAGATTAGACAACTTTTGAAATTCATTTTTTACAAAAAAAAATCCCACTCTTCGTAAAATAAACATTTTGTTATGCATAGGTTCTACTCTTTCGTGATCAGAGTTCCTGACTACAGATCCAGAGAACCGGGTTCGATTCCCGACGCTACCAGATTTTCTGAGAATTAGTGGGTCTGGAACGGGTCCACTCAACCTCGTGAGGATAATTGAGGAGCTATTTCAAGGAAATAGTGGCTCCGGTCTAGAAAATCGAAATTAACGGCCGTGAGGATTCATTGCGCTGACCATGCAACTTCCTCTATCCGCTAAAGTTGGCACTAACTTCGCCAACAAGCGGCGGTCGCACGGTCGGTATAGTTCGCTTGCGGAGGAGAACCACGGAATTTGTTTTTTGTTTGTTTGTTTGTTTGTTTGTATATGTTCTACTGTATTATGCGTTCAACAAATGATGGCGTTAAGAATCTTCGTGAACATATGTGTCAATGTGCCCTCTTACGTGATAGCCTCGTTTTGTAATAACGGGAATTCATTTTCTTACTTCTCATTTCAAGAAGGCCCTGAAGGATCTTTATTTCCAAAATTTTCAGTGCTCTATTTTCCTCTTGCGCGGAAAACTTACGAGTCGTCCTGAACTGAATTGTATTTTCTCGCAATTACATTTTTTCTCCATTGACGAAAAACAATACTCCGCCCCTGAAAAGAGCCATATTTCTCCATAAAAGATTTCCCACCTAAAAAAACACGGTATGCCCCTGAAACGGACTGCTTTCTTACCAAATATTCCCGTTGCCCCGTGATTCATTTCCCTCCCTCCTTCAATGTGTCTGGGTAAACCACTTTCCTTGTAAATTGCTTATAGAACCGAATTCAGTTCATCATACACACACCAGTCCTGAAAATGGAGGCAATATGTTACTTCGAAACATCAGCATCTGCCTACAAATGTAGATGATGTCACAATCAGATGATCATAGCCTGAATTTGTATTATAATTATTTAATTCAGAAGTAACAATCAAAGATATGCTGCTCATTAAATTTTTCACATACTCCATTTGTAATTACTCATTAAAGATCCTGATTAATTCATATTTGTACATAACTGCGATGTAATCATTTCACAGGATCTGTATTCACAGTCTGCTGATTAAGTTTCCCAGTTAATTTGCTTCTCCCTCCCACATCCTCTTAACCTTCATAATCAATTTACACGACGACGCTGTGCTTTTGCTTGTTAACAGGTTTGGTTCTCAAATCGGAGAGCAAAATGGCGGCGAGAAGAGAAGATGAGGAACCAGAGACGCGTAGCGGAGCAACCAAGTACTTCGCCTCCAAGACTGCTAAATGGAAGCAGCTTCTCCAACAGTCATATGTACTCCTCTATCCCTCCACCCATGAGCATGGCAGATTCTTACAGGTAGAATTTTATCGCTATTTCGTATTAGTAACAGGCATAAAAAAGTAAAGCTAGCCCTGTAATAGACTGTGAAGGCCCATAGGATTGTGAGACGTCGAGGCTCCCACATTTTCTAGACAGTCGGTTCACAGATGGCGGTGAGGTTATTAACCTTACGCCCCGGCCTCCCTTTACCCCCCAGGAAGATTCCTTGTACTCATTTTTGTTAGAGGCTGAGTCGACTCCAGGGCCATATGGCGGTTGGAAGGATTATATAAACTGAAAATGCAATCATCTCGACGGGAATGGAACCAGCGACCTTCCGGCTTGTAGCACAGTGCCTCAACCAACTACGCTACCGCGTGCCCTACTAACAGGCATGTATATGAGAAAATATTGTGATTTTAGAAAAATCGATCTCGTGGTTGTAATTGGATTTCAGCACCCCTCAATAATAAAATTGTGTTTTGGAATACCGCATGTATATATTCGCGTATATATTTGCCCCCTCACTAGAGTCTAAACAGTTCGGGCCATTTTATCCATATTCGGTACCTAAGAATTTGTATATTGTATATTAGTGCCCGCTGAATAAGACACTGTAGTCCACCCCCCCCCCAAAAAAAATGAGCACATCAAATTGAGCCCGAAAAAACAAAATGGCGATGTTTTCGAAAGTATTTCTAATGATTTTGTTTAAACTTCACTAATTTATGGAGATTATGTATCAAGACAAAACTGCATAGGTCCTATCTTCAGCAAAATAATGGATTGCATCCCTTGGGTTTCGAACCTGTATCAAAGACACGTCAGTCCTGACGTAGGGGAATTCCTATCGCATAGGCCTTTGGGATTCGAATGCGCCATCCCCTCTAATTTAATGATGTTCCTCGGGGCAAATAATGACGTAACTGGTGACGTCAAGCGGCACTGTAGCCATCATATAACCAAATATATGTCCTCAGGGTCAGCTCCTTAAGCGGAATGCTTAAAGCCACACGACGCTTTCAGGTTCAATGTAGAAAGCTCCATATACAAACATTGTGTTGAAAACATACGAAGTGTTCAAAGCGGACACCCAGAAATGATTCATCATCATCATCATCATCATCGATTCTTAGGTAAAGGTAAGATAAAATTGTCCCTGTGCTTAATTAATTAATTAAGTACTATGACATGAAGATATACGGGAGAATGTAGGTATGGATCCACATATTCTTGACGTCGGTACTAGAAAGGAGTGATCAGTTTCACGCCACGGCCGCTTTATTCCCTGAGAAATCGCCCTAGGTGCCCTTTCGACAGGAGACTGGATGGAATCCAGAGTGGGTCTGGAGGCTGAGAAGAGAAAAATCTTGCCTCTTTCAGAAATCGAACTCCAACCGTCCAGCCTGTAGCTGTACCGACTGAACTATCCGAAATCCTATCATCATTTCTTAATTCGATTATAATTTTTGTCAGCCATAATGTGAAAAAATAATGATATATAAGTGAACAGATTTTTTTCTCATTTAAATAATGTCATTACTTCATACTGCCTAATAAGTAGAATAGAAACCTATGTACATATGTTTTACATACAAAGATACAGAGAATAACACAAGAAACTGATAATTGTAGCCTGCCTACGTTATGCAGTCAAAAACAACTAAATTTGTATACATTATCGAAAAAATAATAAAAATTACAATTTTGCGTGCCATCATAACATCCAAATTCTACAGAACGAGGCATTACAGAAAAGGAAAATTAATTTTAAGCTTCTGGACAATTTCAAACCAAAGAGCCTGATAGCACAGCAGTAAAACCATGGCGACGCCGTTGCCTCGAGCAACCGATGGGCTCGAACGATTCCTCTCAGCTTGTTAGTTTATAAGAGCGACCACTAGTTCACATACCTCATCGCTCGTTGAGTGAGTTAGCCGGGCAATATTGCAAGGGCCCACTTTCATTTTCATTTTATATAACAAAACCCGAAGCTTTGTCGTTAATGAAGAAAACATTCCGTGTGCTCTATACAGGACATGTGGAAGGAGAGGGGGTTGCGTGGTACGAGGAAGGAAAGGGGATGATTGTTGTTGACGTGGAAGTTGTAATGAACTTCTCCCCAAACTACCCTTGAAATAATTAACCGGTAGTCTAGACTTTATAGCTGTAAACATGGTAGAGAGATGGAAACAGGCAGAAGCAGTTTTCAGATTGAACCTAAACTTATATGGAAAACAGACTGAAGTGTCAGTCCTCGTGAGTTTTTATTTCAGACTAATTCATTTCGAACTTTATATTCTGTTCTGAAGTCACTGGTCTCAAATAATACTGTAGTTCTGAGTTTTAATGAAATTTTATTTAGCGTCCAGTTTACAAAGTTATAACAAGGAACTTCTTGTTAACTAAATCGAAAGAAAAAAGTTAAGTTTTGTTCTTTATCCAAAATCGATTATGAATCTTAATTCTCTTGGTGTAAGTCAATTACGCAGAAATTTTTCTGGTTAAAATATATAATCTGTTAACTTGCTGAAATGGCATAAATTGTTTCAATTGTCGTTCTTATAATATATCAGCACGGACCGTACATGAAACACCGTTCCTCTGTCGCTGTTCAATTGTTGCTTATCGCACGGCGCAGAAAGAACCATTTCCCTGTTGTCTGCGGACCGCTGCCTACCCACGCCCGCTCTACAGTCTCCTATTTCATGGTCGCCACCTAGCAACGGGTCTACATGCCACAATACTAAAACTCTGCATTCTGCCCACACAGTGTATCTGTCCGTTTCGTATGGTTCTCACAGTACACAGCGATCCTTTCCCTTAACAGCATTAGCCGGTTGGTCTTTGTGGCGGAGACATAATGTGTTTCCTGTGAGGTACGGACTGAAAGTGTATGTATGGTTTAAAAGAAAAGGACTAACAATGGCATAAAAATTGCCACTGTACTGCATCAGATCATGATACAGTTTAGTTAAGCTGTGTCAGGAAAAGATAAAATAATGGTCATTACAAAAATGGCACTTAACTTAATAAAACAAAATGGCTGCTAGCATTTATAGGCTGCTCAAAGTCACAATATTTAATATAAACTGCATTTGGAGGCGGCGTTATTAGCTCAGTAAACAGCTGCAAGACTTACATGTAGATCTGACTGTGGTCTCAGAGACACATCTCATACCCGATAAGAGGTTCTTCGTTCCAAATTATCACTTTCATTGGAGTGACCGCTTCCCGACAAAAAGAAAAAGGCATATGCTACATGTGCGATACGTACAGTTGACAAAGGAGAAGCATCCTCTCGTCAGAGAAGATGTTACGCAAGGACTACGACCGCAAGTGTTCAGTTGCCAAAAAAATCTCTAGTCGTGAGTCTCAAGGGGTTGGAGCCAAGACGAAGTGATTGGCGGTAAACCGCCAGTCGTAAAGTAACTCTGCCTCTAACTGTGACAAAGTCTCACTTTTGCTTTTGCTTTCAGCACTATGACGACAATGCCAAGTTTCAGCATGTCGGCAACTCACCACCCGGGGACGGGGGTGGCTGGAGGCAGTGTGGGTATGGGGAACAGCATGGGCCCGAGTCCAACGGCATGCAGCCTCCAGCAGAGAGATCCCGTGACGGCAGGCGGCTATTCGTGTATGACGCGGCCCCCAACGTATGACCCCCTGACCCTAGGAGCCTACGGGAGCAGACCATCCCCTTGCAGCCCCACACAGCCTTACCAGACTATGAACGGGCACCAGTATTCTACCAATGGCACATCATCTACAGGTGGGAACTGAACAGAATAAAGAAGGGCACATTCTGATCGAAGATAGAGAAAGCAAATACTTATTTATTTAGTTGTAGTTTATATAATGACGCTGTTCGTACCTTACACAATCTAGCGTCGAATGACTTAATGACAGTGAATAATTAATTGGAAATTGTGTGCCTATTGTAAGGTACTATACCGTCAATTGCTTGGCGGAACGGAGGATAACCTCAGATATATCAATAACAATATTTGGTGTTAGGAAAAATTCGAAGTGGACACATCTCGAACACAAATCAGAAGCGATGTCACTTAAGCCAACTTGCTTAATATGGATAGATTATACATATTTCATAAGTTTCATAACTGTTAAAAGAAGTCAAATCTATCTCTGTAACAGGCCGTGGAGGCCCATAGTGTTGTCAGACGTCGAAGCTCCCACATTTTCTAGACAATCGGGTCACAGATGGCGGTAAGGTTGTCAGCCTCACGCGCAGTCCGCCATTTACCACCAGGAAGATTCCTGATACTCATTTCTTTTAGAGGCTTAGTCGACCCCAGGGTCATAGTGCGGTTGGAAGGACTAGGTAAATTGAAAAATCCAGTGACCTCATCGGAAATCGAAACCTTGAATCTTCCGGCTTGTAGTACAGTTCCTCAACCAACTGCGCTACCGAGTGTTAATCTTTAAAAAAAATCACTACGTTAAGGGGAAGAAGTGGGCGGAAAATGTAGCACGCACGGGAGAGATAAGAATATGTAGCTTCCGCCTACATTTTAGTCAGAAGATTTAAATGGAGACGTAGCTATTGAGGCTATTGATAGGAGGATCAAATTAAACAAATCTTAAAAAATAGAGTACAGGTGAGGTGTGAACTGGATTATTCTGGTTCAGCGTAGCAACCAGTGACAAGCTCGGGCTTTTTAAACGGTAAGAAATTTCTTGATCATCTGAGCAACTATAAACTTCTCAAGAAGGGTTCTATTCTTTCACAGGTCTGATCTCTCCAGGAGTATCAGTTCCGATTGCTGTACCTGGACAACCACCGGATATGACGTCACAATATTGGCCACGCCTTCAGTGACAATGGTGGAACTGAGCAGACATCTTCACTGGCGATCCTTCTGAAGAACTGTCTCACTAATCATTGAGTCTGTGAAGTGAAAGCACTTCATGGTTTCAGAACGAAGTTGAAGAATCCTCGATCAGGTTGGATTTGCCAAGAAGACTACCAGTTCGTGTTAAAGCTGCCACCTAGAACTGGTTTTAATCCCCACGACTGATGGACTTTTGAATGTGTCTTTGCAGAAATGGACAAAGTTTCATTATACTAGAATTGGTGATTATTTACAAATTTCGCACCTAAAGCTGATGAAGGAAGTGGATGAAACTTCATAGATTATAACAGAGACAGAACACTTGAGATAAATGTTTCAAGTTAAAAGACATCAGGCAAAAACGAATCACTGGTGAAACCTCTGTTTTCATGGCGGTATTGCTTGTTGACAGGTGACAATTTCTTCAAAAACGTTAAGTCAGACCTTGAGGAAGACAGTGAGATACGCTTCGATAATAATAGAAAGTATGACTGTATATAATAGACTAGCCGATCTATCCTTTTGTGGCACATATTATGGGGGGGGGCTGACTTTCCAATCACATACCCACAATCTTCAATTAAATTCCACAACATAAAAAACAATAATTTTCCTTCCTGACCTGGCCTCAAAGTTATAAATTTTTCTTGGCTTTTGTATGGAAACTTTTTGGGCATATCTCTACGATTATTTTATATTCTAGGATATAACTTGGACGACCGGAATTCGAGTCCCGATATGGAGAAGGATTTTTTTTCTGATCGTCAATGCGTCCATGCTGTGTCTGTGGTAAATCCATTTCCTGTCCCATGTGTAACCGTGTGTTCGCCCCGGAGAAAATGCGGTCAGAGTGACGCTAAACACTCACCTACACACAGGTTCAAGGTCTGGCGTTCTTGTGGCCGCATAACGTTAAACCAGAGCCCGACTAAACGTAAATGTTCTCCTCAGAAGAACAGACTGTTGCACCTGCTCTGTTGGTTCGCTCGCGGATTTCCTCTTTCCTTCTACGCTGAAGATGGAGGCGATACGTTCCTCCTAAACGTCGGTTAACATAATTTATACACTGCGCCACATCCCAGAAGACGGCTTTCTTCAAAAATAGAATGGTTTGTAATACGTGCCGTCCCTAACTTCTCCAGCCCCAGACAGCCGCTTGCTTCGCCTGTGCACTAGCGTCGACTCTGTCCACATCTTCAATCTTTCTTAACCTGCGGCATTAGATGGACATCACGTCCTGGGCCGTTTATCCGTGGACACAGAAATTATAGTACTGACTGGACATAACAGTTGGTGGGCCTCGTAACTAGTCTGTGCGAGGTGGTGAAAAGAGGAATCTCCCCTCCCCCGCGACATAGTCACTATACCGACTGAGATACAGCGATCCTACGATCAACATAAAGGCAATTAAGTACTAATTCTTTTTATAAGACTGAATCCTGTTTGCGTTTATGCTATTAAGCCATAAGATAAATCGTCACTCAAATTTATATTGAAAAATCTTTCTGAATATTATTATTTTTCTTATATATTACATATTTAGTGCGTAAACGGTGACCTTTAGGTGACATACACAAATAACCCAATTATATACAGGCTGTAAGTGCAAAGTTGTTAAAATCTGGAGATGTCGAGAAATTTAGTTAATATTGTAATGAATTAGGTCGGATCCTACTTAATTTCAGAAAGACATATGTACAGAAATTACACTAATTGCCCAAACATAAGTATTTTGAAACGTGTGAATTTATGTGCTTAATATTTAATTTGAATTTCTATATAACTTGACATTTAACAATTTTTTAGCTCTAGGGTGTGAACATAAATAATTTTCAGAATTTCAGAAATTTATTTTGAATCAATAATGCAAAAATAGAATATCCACATACAAACCTACAGGACACACTTCCCTTTGCGCGGAGGTGTCGCCATTGTATTGACTGCAGTGCCCCTCGTGGCAAATAACTGCAATTTCGTGTGCATGTTTTGATTCGAAACTATGGCAGATGTAATGTAATGTTTGGAAGTTTGGATGCATTATCTTGTCCTCATTCACAATATTTTACTAAATTGTAACGATAATTTTTCCTCCACCCATACTTTCATTTACTCTATATAACATTCTCGGTTAAGTCTGTCGTCTTTTTGTGCGCGCGCGCGCGTGTGTGTGTGTGTGTGTGTGTGTGTGAGGGGGTTATCTGTAATAGTCTTTCTTGTGTTTTTCTGCTGACAAACAGCTGGAATTAATCTGAAAAATTACAAAAGGGATACCAGTTTTAGCGAGTTCGTCCAGCTGGATTAATATTGGGGTTAATAGTGGAATTCTGCTTACTGATGCCGTGAAAAGTGTGTCTTTGAAAGCGAGGGCAGATGTGTTCGCGTAGTATGACGTAAATGACTATTCTAATGTATATAATCGTGTTGTATTCATATCTTACCAAGTTCTATGAAATGTACAGTTACGCTAATACTGCATTAAGAGTAGAATTTTACTTACTGGTATAGCAGAACATGTGTCTTAGAGGGTGAATGACGTGCTGGTGTGTGCTTGAAGGAAAGGACTTTTGTGTTAGTATAGTTGGAGTGAGACTAATAGATACATTCGGAATGCGAAGAGTGTTTTACCTAGATGGGGCTATTCTCTCGCCAGTTAATGATGACGTCACATATTGTGTTTTCACTAACCGACTCACATTATACTACGTCAACACATCTGTCTTTTCCTTCAAATACATTCAAGTACATTGTACTGCATAAGTAGCTTTTATTTTAGTTTCTTGGGTTTGGGTAAGACTGAGTCCACTTGGTACGTCGACCATTATTTGGCCTATTTTACCAGCCCCGGATGGTAGGTGATGATGGGCTTGGAGCAGCCGGTGGAGTGAGAATCGGCAGGGGAAACCGAAGTACTCGGAAAAAACCTACCCGAGTTCCACTTTGGCCACCACAAATCCCACATGACTTCATCTGGGCTCGAACCCGAGCCGCCGCAGTGGGATGCAGGAGACTAACAGCCTGAGCTCTGGCACGGTCTACTGTATAAATAAGTAAAATTCCACCCTTAACCGCAATACTGATCCAATTGTGCAATTCGCTAAAATGTGATAATACTTGTATAATTTTTTAGATCATCTCTGGCTGGTCGCCAATAGAAATATTATTCCAAGTATTCCTTGGCCCCAAAAGAAACGTAAGGTTTAACCTAAATTCAATGTAACTTGGATGAAGTGTGAAAGTATGATTAAAGAAGTGTGAAGTGCAAATTATATTTGATAAGTCGAATTTAATAGTAAACACATAACTCCAATTGCTGGAAAATACTTATATTCAGAGAAGTTCTGTAATTATTAATATCAATATCTTTGAAAAATTGAGTTTAATCGGATTTAATCCACAATTATTTTATTTGCGTATTTATACATCTCGATATTTAAAAACTGTAACTACAGTTTATATATCATCATCGAGGTCATCACCGGCAGAACAGCACTTTTTGAGCCAAAGCCTACCTTAGAAGATTCTGCAGATTTATTGAGTTTCACTTCTTTGGACTTCGCAACAATAATACTTTTACAGAGCAACCTGGAAGACCAACTCCTTATATTTATGCCCCCCCCCCGAGACAGAGTGGCCCATTTGTACCGCCTGGCACCGCGTTCCCTTTCTGTCTCCTTCTACGACTCGCAGTGCTATGGTTGAATTATCCTAATCAGTCTCCACATGGGAACAGTCTATATATTTGTGTACGTCAACTAATGGTAACAATTTGCGCTCAAACAATGTTTATTATAATAAATATGTAAGAACAAATCTAGTAACTTCCTACAGATTACGTAATAATCTACGTCACTATATGACAATGACGTACGATGAAAAAATATTTTAAGCCAATTTGACATGAAAACCTCAGCCTAACTCTACTGAATATGGGGATACGTGACAGTTGACAATTAACATTGGTGCGCTGAAAGACAACCTGTGTTTTGTTAGTCAAAATCAAGACAACTGTGAGTCTCAAGGTCTGACGAAATAGGACATGTCAGTAAAGATTCATACCTCGGCACTGTGTGGAACATATACACGGATTACACGCTATATCAGAATTGTCAAATAGCAGCGTATATCTCTTTTATGAGCTGACATGCTTCAATCTACGTCATATTTCAATTTCAAGCACGTGGCTGAAAGGCAAAGTGAAGATATTAATGAATGAGATGTGTAATGTGAATACAACGTCTCAAAATATAAAGTTAATAACAATAAAGTAAGAGAATTGATTTATAAAAATAGTTAGATTACCGAGTATCGTATTTGTAAAAGAGGTCCAAAGGTACAAACTAAAGTGGAGAAAAATATTCGCCGATTCTGGCTGAACTCAACAGTACGTCAACTGGAGCAATTACAACACAACAAGTGAGCTGGTAGCACCACTGACCCTGTTTCAGCATAGAGAGAACTAAATGATTTCTTCGAATATAACAGTCATTATCAGTCCACATGTTGCTTATAAATGTAACTACTATTAAACTATATATATGAACATAACTAATAAGGGTACATTAATTTATTATTTTCCACGTGCATTTTTAACGTATTTGTCTGGTTGAACTGGACTGGCCCAAGGCGCATATCAAGAAAGCCGCTTTCATGACGTAATTGAAAATCAGTCGGACAGTAACTCAAGTCTGAATGAAACGACTTTTAACTCTTTTTGCACCCCTACTGTTTATCTCCCGTAAATATATTTGGTAAATAAATCTGTGAAATTTTTCTTCCTTCTAATTCTGTTGTAATTTAAGCTTATTTTCGAAGATTTCAGAAATTTATAACCATCTATTAAGCTGAAGAAAATTTAAAAAATACAATCCCTTGTTGTGACGCCATGTAGTCCGATATAAGCTGAATGACATTTCGGAGGAATGCACTACCTCCATCTTCAGGGTTTAAGATCAAACCCAACAAGTAACCAGCAAGCAGAGCGATCTGGAGGCAATAAATTCGTCCGAAACGTCGGTTATTTTCTACCAGACAACACGGTGTCACATTCTGAAAGGTTTACACTCTTCAATAAGCTACTTATGCGAGGTTTCGGATAACATATGCACCGTGGCCGGTCTCATGAAACGTTCGTCTTTGCTGTACAGGGTCTCTTAAGAAGTGGCGTAACGACACCCGCCCCCTCGCACCCCCGTATTGTTCGGCGCCTCGTAGGAAATAACTTGTTTTACAGCCTACTGCATATAGGCACTTGAGTGTAGACACGTTACTTGTATTGACTGTTATAAGAGGCACGTGAATGTGTGTTTGCTGCCCCCTCGTATGTCATTACGCCACTCAGAATATATATCCATAACAAGAAAGGGTGAAAAATTCTTCGATATGACATGCGGTATCACAAGTTAAATTTAAACATTTTTTTCTCTTTCCGGCATGTGCGATAGCTTCAGTTATAGGGAAGCTTTCAACAGTAGTTTCTGACAATGGTGCGTAACACTCAGAATTACTGGGTTTCCAGACTCCGTCCATTGTCCAATGTTCTAAAAACTAGAAAACACAACGTTTCGAAAACTGTCTATGTTTCCGTCCTCATGTGAGATGGGGGGACATCTACTCTCTTGGGTCCCTTAGAAAGAGCTAACTTATTTTCCTGTTATCTGCCTCCGACAGAATTTGGTGTCAGGTATTTAAATAGCTGTAGTGAACCTCACATGGGTTGCCCAGTGATTGAAGTTAGCTCTTTGGAAGGGACCCAACAGAGTAAGTGTCTTTAACATCACATGAGGACGGAAACAGATCCAGTTTCCGAAACGCTGTGTTCTCTAATTTTTAGAATACGGATGATGAACAAAGTCTGAAACCCCAGTAATTCCCAAAATGTTTATATTTAAGCTTCTTGGTTTCTATGTACCTGTACAGGATACTATTTGAACGTGTGACAAAAGGCGAAAATTATGCAAATAAAATGTAGGCCTAATTGTTTAATTCTTGCTTTTAACCATTGGGCTACAATTTTAATAAGAGGGATTGT